TGCAAAGAGAACAAACCTATCCATTTTGAAGGAAATCAACCCTGAGTGCTCACTGGAAGGACAGATCCGGAAGCTGAGGTTCCAATACTTTGGCCATCTCATGAGAAGAGAAGCCTCCCTGGAAAAGCCCCTGATGTTGGGAAAGTGTGACGGCAAGAGGAGAAGGGGGTGACAGAGGACGAGATGGTTGGACAGTGTCACCGAAGCTATCAGCATGAATTTGACCCAATTCCAGGAAGCAATGGAAAACGGGAGGGCCTAGTGTGCTCGCATTCTTACTACTCATGAGGTCACAAAGAGTTGGACACAACTTAACGACTAAACAACAAACAACAACAGATACAAGATATTGTGAGCATGTGCTACATAAAGACAACAGTTTTATAGATTGTTGTCATGTTCTGTTTGATATATAAATGGAAGACATTTATATATCAAATGTCAAGAAATATCTTCCAGAAGATATTTTGAGGAGGGACACACATTCCCCCCAAAACCCACTAGTAGATTCTCTGAGCTGAGCATCCCTAAAGAAAAAGTTAGTGCTTCTTCTGAACCAGGTTTTACATGGACCAGATAGTCTATTGGTTGCTAAAAGCTCAGAGGAAGAAATGTATCAAGAATTTGGCATGGACTGTTGCCTCCTACAGCAGTATGCCTAGTAAGGAAATCAGCCCTGAAGGGCGAGTGGGAGGGGAGAAGCAAGAAGCTGGCAATCATACCAGTGCTTTGGGAAAATGCTCAAAGTCAATGGGGTACAAGTTATATAAAGCTGAAAGGACAATCCCACAGGAATGTCTTTCAGTTTCCTTGAAGCGAACATGCCAAAAAGCCCATTAGGGGCAGCTTGATTTGAGAATGATGCCCACAAGAAAAAGAGAGAGAAAACTCATAGAGACAGCGGAGAGAGTCAGCCGTTGCTCTGCACTCCCAGCCAGCCCATGTTCTCCTAGTCCAATTATCAAAATATTTACACTACAAAGAAGGAATATTTGTTCTGGAATGTTGAAAAAAAAGGAACCACAGGGCTGTGCATGAGCAGAGGAGAAACGGGGATAGTTGCTTTGCAGCTTTCCTGTTTTCATTCAGTCTGGCCCCTCTTCCCTTCACATGCATGATCTCTAACAAGGACTCCTCTGCAATGCTGAACAAATGCATGCAAATGGCAAAAGGGCCAAAATATGGCGTTTCATCTGAGTTCAGAGTGTCCCAATGACTGTTCCTTCTAAAACTGGCTGCATCCAGAAAATGATTCACCCTTGGCAGCAGAGAGCTCTGTGTATGCAACATGGATCTCTCCAGTGCTACACGTGACTGCTCCGTGTAAATCACAGCTGCATTTATTACTACACTTCTGTGGGGAGATAGCTGACCCATTGGGCCAAATAGGGCACATCAGTCACAGGTCAGGAACATCTCTAATCAGGGTGCAAGGCATGTTTTTCTCCTTAGCTGAGTTGTGAAGTAAATTAATATAAAAGGGAGAGTATAATTGAGTGCCTCAGTCTATGCCCACCAGCTTGTCTGCCTGGGTGTATGTGCAAATGCTTAGTTTAGTTGTCAGCCTGTGTACATCCATTTATCTCTGGTCTTGCCTGTCACCCTCCACTTTACTCACCACTGACTGCTATGCTTTCTGCTCTACACACACAATAGGTACTGTATCAGCCACTACTGGTCTAAAAGACACCAAAGTAATGACTGGACAGAAAATCCTTGGATCTAGGTACAGAATATGTACATGGATTGCTCCTGGGTGAAAGAAAAGACTGAAGGTCCAGATCTTGATCTTATGGTATGAATCTGTTTCTGATTTTGTTGGGTGAATTCCATATTGGGCATTCTAGAGTCCGAAAAATCTTGCTCTGCATATGGCAGACAACTTCTGATTTTGTTGGGTGAATTCCGTATTGGCAACATACATGGATCTGGACATTCTAGAATCTGAAAAATCTTGCTCTGCATATGGCAGACAACTGCAGTGGAGTCTTCCCATTTATTTAGCATCTTATCTTTCCTCTCAGCAGATCAGGACAGTGCAAATGGCTCTGTCTGATTTTTATTTTCATAATAACCCCATGAGGCTATGGCAGGCTAAAAGATACTGACTCCCTTATGCTGGTTCTGCAGCTTCCATGACTGGTAGGGAATCTCAGCCTTAGTCTTAGTCCTAGTCCAGCATTCGAATCCGGAGGCAAGCAGTGTTTCAGGAATGAAGGGTCAGACTGGATCCCTCAGAACCCATCAGGGCTGCATTACAAATCTGATAGAACCTGTGGTGGCTTGTTATGATGCAGAAGGGTGCCAGAACATTTCCTTACTCCACAGAACTCTGTGAGGCAGAAAAGGCAGCTCAGAGGTCTAGGTCTCTGGCTGCAGAGCCAGAGGTTGGGAGCTGGATCCCCCTCTGCCTCTCCTTAACAGGGGCTAGACTTGACGATCCGTAGGGCCCCTTCCAGCTCTGCAGTTCTAAGATGATGATGATGATGTGGGAGATGTGGGTAAGTGCAAGAATGTGGAATTGGATGCAGGCTACCAATTACTTCCTCTGGCTCTCATTTGATTACCTGTGTTTTTTTCCTTCTGAAAGAATTTTGAGACATTAACATCACCTGCTATTTATCTTTATTGGTCACCAGTGGAGATTCTAATTAATAATAATAATGTGCTGTCAAGTCAATTCTGATTCATGGCAACCCTTGTCAAGTTTTTTCCAGGTAGAGAGTACTCAGAAGTGGTTTACCATTCCCTTCCTGGGGGGGGGGATCCTGCTGCTGTGTAGCCCAAAGCCACATAGGCTAGCTCTTTTCCACAATGACTGCACAGCCAGATACATAAGCCACTGAGCTATCCAGCCAGCTTTTAGATTCTAATTACTAAAGCATTTATTTTTGTTGTTACTGAAAGAGAGCTATGGATTAAGCTGCTTTGGGGAATTAGTGGCCTTGTCCTAGAGGAGGCCATAACATCATAATAGTTTGTTGTATATTGATTAATCCAGACTAATTACCACTCCTTAGTTTTGTTCCCACAATTGTTATAGCCTTATTCAGTCAGTTTTTAAGCATGCATCATAAGCACTCAAGAAGGGCCTGTCCCTGTTCTCACTTGCATTACTCTTTGCATCTGAGAGAATTCTGAAGCTGAAGCTTTCCATGGAAGATTTGCACATGAGTTGGACAATTACACAGAAATGTTCTGTGGAAGGGGGGGGCTCTGCACTTTAGATAGTTGCCCTCCATGCTTGGTAGAGGAACAAAACACCTGACTACATACCCCTCTGCCCATGTTTATTAAGCATGCTTGAAGGATGATTGAATAACGCTGATCACAAGTTGAAGTTGTATCTTGTACAAAACTTCAGAATGCTGTTTAACTCTCTAGCTATTATCCATTGTTCTCATTTTGGAAGTGCACAGAGTTCCGGCTCATGGAAAGAGCCTCCAGCCAAGCCTTGAGAACTTCGAGGTGCCCCTTCAGCCCCCAAATGCCATACTTTACCCCATACCAGAAGGTATAGAGGAATAGAGGGTGGGTGAAGAAATTCACTTCCATGGACTCTATTATCATGAGATTGACTGGAATATAAGATTGGGGAGAACCTTCCAGGTCATCTCAGTGAAACACAGAATCTTAGAACTGAAGAGCTGGAGGAAACCCAAAGGCCACTGCCTGTAAAGCAGAGAATCCACAGCTAAAGCATCACTCATGGATGGTCACCTGACCTTTATTTATTTAAAATCACCCAGAAATGTGAGTCTACCACTTTCTATTGTAGTCCTTTTCACTGCTGAAAGGTTTGCTATCACAAAGTTCTTCTTCTTAATGCTTATATGGATTTGCCTTTCTTGGCATTTGAACCCATGGGTTGAGTCGTATTCTGTAATGCAGCAGAAAACCAGGCTGCTCCATCTTCCAAGTAACAGCTGTTCAGATTTTGGGATGGCATTGGCAGGTCATAATATTCATACTTCTTTCAAAGTAACTCTGACTCAGCCTATGCTTGGAAGGTTTTGTTTCTCTTCTTGTTTTTGTCTTAGTGGTCTATTATATTATAGTTTATCTAGCCAGGGGTGAATGAAGGGAATGCTAGGGTTTTCTGATGGATTTCTGTGTGATTTGAAGCAGATCAGGGGAGGTTTCTGATTCCTTTTTTTTTTTTAACAAGAACAAGAACATCTGAATTATACTGCCGAAATGGCAACTGCTAGGGGTAACCAGGTTATGAGTTTCTTTGTGAAAGGACTAGGGACTCTGCTCACTTTTGATACTCAGAATGAATTCCTAAACTCAGGATGTGGTAAGAGACATTCTCTTCTTTAATTCTGATCATGTGTATGTGTTTTGCACCTGGCTCTGATTGGTTCTTTCTTTGGATCAAAGGCGGAGATCTGACAAGCCAGCACAGATAACAAACCCACCCTTGCCCCAGGCCCTAATGCTTTTGTCTAGCAGTATTAAGTGACAGTCAGCTCCTGACACAGCCTTTGACCCTTAAGCTGACAAAATCCCTGGAGGAGAGGAGGGGGTGGCTTTTCACAGCCCAGCAGGCAAATCCTGACATTGTCAGTATGAATAATAGTCACAAAACAGGAAGATCTAGACATTTATTATGACATATATGCACTACTGCTGTTCATTGAAAACACAGGGTTCTTTATTGCCAACAGATCCTGGCTAATGCTTCCTTCCTACTGCTTTCAAAGCACAACCTACTGATGTAAAGTTAAGAAAGGACATCACGCTTATAGAGAGTGAAAGTTTCAGTGATTTGTTTAATAACACTGGCGGGCAGCTCTCTGTTGCCCCAGCAGAAGGAAACGTTATTACACATGAGTCTTTCTGCAGGCAGGCAGGCAGGAGTACATGAGTGTGGATTAAATGCTGAGGAGTTTGGCTGCCAGAGAAAGACGTTATTGTTGTGACTTTCTCCTCCTTCCCTCCCTCACACCCACCCTCCCATCCTCCCTGAGAGAATCTCTTGCAGAACGGAACCAGAGAAAAACACACAGGGCTTGGAGGAGGTTCATTTGTATCCGACCTGGACTGGAGTGAAGAGGAGGAGGAAGGAGAGGAAGAGGAGGAAGAGTCCTGGGAGTTAAAATACACAGGCAGGAGGAAGGGCAGGGGGCAACAGGTAAGCCCTGGACAAGTGTCCTATTTCGGAATGGCCTCACTTAACTCAACAGGCAAGGATGCAGCTTTTCAGATGGGATCATTTTCTAACGGCTTCCTTTCTCTCCTGGCACTAATCAACAGAGATTTGATATCTGGTTTTTCCAAAGTTGCTTTTAGGTCACCTGGCCACGTGAGTTCTGTCAACCTGGGGGTGGGGTGGAGAGGGATGGGATTGCCTGTGACAGTAGTGGTTAACATGCTGAAATGGCTTCCAGCCCCATGCATCTCTGATGCTGACAACCCATACACAGAGGACCAAGAAGAGCATTTCAGAAGTCTCACCTTCAGTACGAATGATTCAGTGAAGAGACACAAAGAGAATTTTGGCAGAGAGGGTGTGGCTCTACCCAGAGAAAGAGGGGGAAAGAGAGAGAGAGAGAGAGACAGAGAGACAGAGAGACAGAGAGACAGAGAGAGAGAAAAGCATCTGTTTATTCCACTTGAACTGTTTGTAAAATATTTACTTGTTCTTTCATGTCAGAATTGTAAACAGTTTTGGGGTGGGGAAGAGTTTCTCTCTGAATAGTTAATATCAAAGATGCTATTCCATGTGAGAAAAATGTTGTGATGTTTATTATCCAGTGGAGGGGAAAAATAAAAATTCATATCTGTTCTGGGAGGTGGAGTTGTTGAGGGCAAAATGAAAGAGTGCACTGGTTTCCCTGTTGTCTCAAACAGCCAAATTTGGGGAGGGAAAAATTAAGCACCCCAGAATCCTCCCCCCCTTGCATCAGCCAAACCTTTTATATACACTCAAAGTGGAGAACGCTTAGGCTAAAGTTCCAAAAATAAGTGTCTCTTAACTAAATCCAGCTTGCTTCACGAGGAGGATCATACTATTACACACTAATATTAATATACAAATTTGGAAGCGTATCTTTGTGATTTTAATGAATTGTACCCTCGAGGACAGTTTATACTGAAAAGCAGTCATGCACTGTCTCCTGCTTCACTGCCAATTCCCCATCTAAGTACAAGACAATTATACAGTGCAATTGTAATTGTACAAAGGGCTAATTAGAAGTAAATCCCACTGAGTTCAGTGGAGTTTGGTCCAAGGTTAAAAGATCCAGGTTCGTAAGATTTTTGTGATTGGACTTCAGATACATGAATTATATTGCATTCAAGATTTGCTAGGTGACACACTTCAGGATTCAAAACACAGAAACATGCATTTCACAGGACAGATCAGTTTCTGTTGTGGTGAAGAAGATCTGTCTGGTAGCCAGTTTCATCTCCTTAATTATGCTATCTCTTCCTAATTATCCTTTCCTGTGGAGATGAGAGTATGAGGAGAGAGCAAGTACTTCACATGTTAATTCATAGACCCAGAAGAAAGAGCTTATAGGATCTACACTGCCAATATATACTTCTTTTGAACTCAGACATAGATCTACTGAGTCCCAAAGATTTCCAAATGTGGGTGTGGGTGTGTGCTGTCTCCTATGCTCACAAAGCAACAGCTCACCATTATCTATCATTTGTTGTGATTCAGGGAAACTACACTGAAGTCAATTTATGGGGGCACTCCTTGGAATGCTTTCCCTAATCAGCACCTCCATTCTTGGCAGGCTTGTGCATCATGTGCTTGCTGGGTGAAAAACTGTCTTCAAGAACCATGTGCATTTTTTTTACATCACCCTTCATGCTGGAATAGATTCCAGCTCATGTGATTTGAACAGAGATTAAATATACAGAAGAGAGGTCCGGAGTCTTTCCATGAAAAAGAATGGAGAACAGAAGATATTCATATAGGAGGAGCAACGACGAGAAAAAGTTATGCAGGCACTTAAAACTGAAGGAGGAAGGGAGGGGGAAGCTCAGGCAGCAGGGCTGAATTAAGAACAGTGCAACTCAATCAGAAATGCAGGAACTGATGCTTGAGTTTTGGAAAGCATGTCTGTTCCTTGTGACTGACAGAGAACATTCCAAAGACCATAGTAACAGTAAGATGCCTACACTACAGGGGAGGCATCTTATTGAGGAAACGGTAGCCTGCAAATCCATGTGTTTGGGTGTGGGTGTTTTCACCTCCCTCTATGCACACAAAGAAAACAAATTTGCTTGAAATCGGTGCTATGCAATTCTGGCTATTAATGTTGAGCTATACTGCAAATCATATCTTATCAGTCACAAACATGGTAGTATTTTCTCAGCTTGAGGCACTGATCCATCTTAGAAGGTTGTTGTGAGGGCTGCTGAAACAATGAAGTGCTTTAGTCTGAGCACTGTACAGTTGTGCAGGGCTCTGCCTTTGTATCCCTCTAGATAAATTAGGCAGTTTTGATTCTGGATCAGCCTTACCTAACATTCTTGTCATGTGTATAATACAACTCTGAGCATTCCCAGTCATCCAAACTGACAGAGGATGATGGGGTTTGCAATACTGTATGCCACAAACACAGCAGGTTGGTGAAAGGTGATTTAGGGAATCCATTTCCCCATTGCCACTGTCTGAAATGCACCTCTATAAGCTGTCTCGGGAGGCTGTACAACAGGGTTTCAGCACAGGTCCTAAGAGTAAAAAGTAACTTTAATTTTCTCTCTCTCTCTCTCTCTCTCTCTCTCAAGACATTTCCTGCACTTCTAGTGTTACAAGTGTTACCATCCCAACACAGCAGAAAATTCCCATCTAGAAAGACATTTCCAGGGGAGTCAATACTAGGACCCACTGAAGGTCTGGTTGTTATGAAATATCACTGCTTCACAGTTCATTCTGAACAAATGAGTACAAAAAGAGTACAAAAGAGGCTTTTTTTTCCTCACTGCAGTTGTGCACTGTGACTGGGGATCCTCTGTATGCCAAATGAATGCATGAGGTTTGCATTTTATTGTGCTGCTTTTGAAATATAGACTTAGGCAGCTGGAGACATAAAGTGAGCCTTCAGGGATGAAAAAGAGCACAAGCCTTCAGCAAAGTCCTCCCTCCCCCTGTGTTGCAATTTCATAGGCATTAGCTAGCAGTTGATTCCAGATGCTTTTTGTAGAGGACACACCCCATCTGGATGCATAAACCTTCCCTGCAGGCGGGAGAGGGGGGGAAGCCTGTAGCAGTCTCAAATAATTTGGATAAATTCATAGTACAATGGCTCCAGCCCAGTGCGAACACTCCCTTGCTTGATTTTTCAGTCTCTCTAGAGACTGAGGAGAGACGTGGTCTGCAGTACTTCTTCTCTACCTTTTAACATCTTTTCACAACACCAGAGGAAGAACTTGGGTGAGGCAATTTTACTAACAACAAAATCTCATTGCGGCCACTGAGTCCAGGTGCAGTCTCTGCGGGCTGTTTTACAGCTGCCAAGAGATGGGGAGATCAGCAGAATAGTGCAGGGACAGCTCATTCATCTGTCAGGGAGAAACACGAAAAACCGCTCACTAAAATGTGTCACATTCTTCATGTGAGGATTGATTATACATCCTAGGCAAGTATGTGGAATCTGCAAGCTTTACTTTGGCTCTCCACAACAATTTTGGTTTGTGGCGATGGCTGGGTGTTCCCCCCCCTCTTTTCTCCCTCTTCTCTCTCCAGATTTTGAAAGTTTTTATCATAGGCTGAAGGAATATGACTCACATAAACACTAGAAGACAAAAAAAAAAGGTATGAAAACAGTCTAGGCCTGAATGTTAGGGCAAGAGTCTAGAATCTGGGGTGATTGAATGAAGAACCTCGGAGCTTGGAAAAGTTACTTTTATGGATTGTCAAAAATCTCTAATGCGGAAGGGGTGTTCTGGAAGTTGTCATCCAAAATGGTCACATTTCCAAGCTCTGCCCAATCAATACAAAAAACACTTTTGAGGATGAAATTATGTATGCCAACTCCACAACTATTCCTTTATACACAAATATTTCCAAAATCACATGTAAATTGGTGTTTAGAGTTACAATTGAACAGTGGTTTAGGCAGCTGGCTGTGCTGCCAGAGGTTGGGAGTTCAATTCCCCACTGTGCTTGCTTGGTTGAGTTGGACTCAATAATCCATAGGGTCCCTTCCAGCTCTGCAGTTCTAAGATAATGATGATTATGGGGAATCAAACTTCCGAACTCTGGCTCTGCAGCCAGATACCTAAGCCACCAAGTTATCCAGCCAGCTCTATGCAATTCAAACACACTGGATGTAAGTAAACCCCACTGAAATAAATGAGATTTAGAATAAGTGTTCACCTATCAAGGGCAACACATAGGATAACTGCAACTAGTATACATCCCACACTGTTTCTCTTGCTTTGTGGTTAAGTTTGTTTCTTATACATTGTCTTGCCTGTCCAGTTATGGAACTGCATGTCATATGATTTTAATACAGTACAGAATTCAAAATGATGTAACTAGCTATGCAGCTGCCAAAAAAGGAAAGAGAACACAGCCTACTGCTGTTTTCTTTTTCTTGTCAGCAATGGACTTGAGGGTGGGAAGACTGAAGAGATAGGTCCCCTTTACTGTCAAACTGAGAAGAGGACATACCAACTAGAAGAATGTGACTTGGTAATTCTCTTTGCCCTCCAACTTCTCAGAGAGGCTGAAGAAGCTTTACGTCCTCTTGAGGAGATAAGTAGTATAGAAATATTATAAAGAATTAATAAATAAATTAGATAGTGTGTTTCCACTTCTCTTTGGTTGGGCTAAAAAAGACATTACATTAATATGGGTTTAAGACAGAGAAGGAAAGTCTGAATTGTGTACACTTCCAGTGTATTCTGGTGCATATTCCCACATTGTTTAGAACTGATTAGAATTCCCTTCACAAACTGAGCACAGATAGGTCCAACAGATTATGTCTCAGAATATGCTCCAAACTGATAAAAGCATTTTAAGAAACATTGTAAATTTTTAATCTTCTCTGGAAATGCCTTTTCGTACTGCTGGGCAAGATACAGGGGATTATAGGTAAGGAGTATATTAGAGATGGGGATGAATATAAAAATGGTTCGCTTTTTCTGACGAATATAGCTGATTTGTTAAAT